CGCTCTTAGGTTGGAAGCCATCGCTCTTAGGTTGGCAGCCATCGCTTTTAGGTTGGAATCCATCGCTCTTAAGGTTGGAGGACATCACTCTTAGGTTTGGAGGCCATCGCTATTAGGTTGGAGGCCATCGCTAGTAGGTTTGAGGCCATCGCTCTTAGGTTGGAAGCCATCGCTACTAGGTTGGAGGCCATCGCTCTTAGCCTTTGGAAGCCATCGCTCTTAGGCTGGAGGCCATTGCTATTAGGTTGGAAGCCAACGCTCTTAGGTTGGAGACCATCGCTCTTAGGTTGGAGGCCATCGCTCTTAGGTTGGAGGCCATTGCTATAGTAGATTGGAGGCCATCCCAATCGCCATTGGGTTGGAGGCCATGGCTGTTAGGTTGGAAGCCATCGCTATTAGGTTGGAAGCCATCGCTATTAGGTTGGAGGCCATCGCTATTAGGTTGGAGGCCATCGCTACTAGTTAAAGGCCATCGCTACTAGGTTGGAGGCCATCGCTATTAGGTTGGAGGCCATTGCTATTAGGTTGGAGGCCATCCCTACTAGGTTGGAGGCCATCGCTCTTAGGTTGGAGGCCGTCGCTATTAGGTTGAAAGCCATCGCTATTAGGTCGGAGGCCATCGCTACTAGGTCGGAGGCCATCGCTATTGGGTTGGAGGCCGTCACTATTAGGTTGGAGGCCATCGCTATTGGGTTGGAGGCCATCGCTATTAGGTTGGAGCCCCTCACTATTAGTTTCCTTAAAGTCTTTTTTCAACAAAGAAAGCTCCACGCATCGGCTCGGGCTTATTTTGAAGGCTCGGGCCATTGGATCAAGTGCCGGCCGATGAGGCTGATGAGGCCGCTGCTGCGAAAACAGGTTCAAGTAGACCCACAAAAATGTCGAAGCAAAAGGCTTGGATTAACATGTTACTTGTAGCTTCTTGCTACTAGTACCAATGCACTTGCTACTAGTAATGATGCACTTGTTACCAGTAGCGATGCACTATTAGTAAACGTACACAAGTTCGATTCAACTCTTAGAAGAGCACCTTCCAGTCAAGATTTACTCTATAAATCTCTCGTTACGAGGACAGGCGTGTCAGAAGCTCAATGAGCACCTTGGTCAAAGTTCCAAAGACAGGCAGAGTCAATAGCGTAGACAGACTGTCTCAGCCGGATTGACACAATGATAGTATGAGTGCGTTCTATTCAGAATGTCATATCTTGTTTCGCTCTTTGCTGATGTCAGAACATGGAATGGAGAACGAAAGCCTTGAAAATTGTGTCGGTTGAAATTTCGTGTCTTGCCTAGGAGGCATACAAATTGATCTTGTGTGTCTTTATTCCCTTCTATAGTGCCTTTGTAATTTTGAGTCAATCACACACACGGCAAGCGAGGAACCTGTCATGTCGTGTGGTTGCTTTTGATGCTGAAGTCTGGTGTTGCTTGTGCGTCAGGGTATGCCTCTTTGATTGCTACAAGGACAGAAGGCTTCCCTTGTCAGTAGTGTTGAAAGCTGCCAAGGCGCATGAGGAGGATATTGGGAGGTTGAAGGACACGGTCTTGTGAATTCCACTGGAGGTCTTCACAAGTTTGCCACCCTGGATGTGAAGCAAAAGCATTCACAAGCATTATAAATAAACGTGTGTGGCTTGGAGGCCATCGCTACTAGGTTGGAGGCCATTGCTAGTAGGTTGGAGGCAACTGGAGGTCTTCACAAATGTGTGTGCGTGTGCTGGGGCGCCCGCCTTTGGGAGGCTAGACTTTGCATGCACTTAGTGAATGTCATAGTACAAAGCTTCCCCCAGACCCTTTCCCCTCCTTCATGCTAACCACCAAACCTGAGGCCCCAAGGCTTTCGTTTTAGAAAAGCTCAATGTAGCATAGTAGTGCGTCCCCAAATTGAACTGAACTATATTTTTGTCCAACTACAAGTCCTAGGAATGACAATTCGGGAACGTACCAGCTGATTCAACGAACAACCTTGGAGAAGTCTTGGCACGCCTTGTTCTGCCTTTCAGAGCCTTGTTGGGGTCTTCTTGGCAAATCCGTGGCCCTTGTCCGCCTCTTCATCCTTCTCAGCTGCGGACGAATCACCGTCCTCGAATGGACACACTATTTCACTGAGGATCCTCAGAAACCTGTAATAACATTTTGCAAGTGAAGTGAGACATACTGGACTCAGTTGTATTGTCACACGATCTTGCCAGGACCATTCAACTGGACTGCGTCTTCTGGCGCATGCCCTCGTCCTCCACAGCAGGAAGTGAATCTGCCTCCTTGCGCTTGGATGCTCGTATGTCCTGACACGAGAGCACACTCTGACAAAGGAGGTTGCTGGTTAAGCACTGGAATTCTGACTCAAAGTACTAGCTCACGGTTTGTGGGTGGAAACATATTAGTTGCTCACCCAACGGACTAGCTGCAGCTCGCAGGGCTCGTGCGCCTTGCTGTAAGTCAAATGCAGAAAGCCTCAGAGTGGCTGCATTTGCTCGGTGTTCTTTATGAACCTACTAGCGATGGCCTCCGACCTACTAGCCATGGCCTCCAACCTAAGGGCGATGGCCTCCAATCTACAATAGCGATGGCTTCCAACCTAGCAGCGATGGCCTCCAACCTAATAGGGATGGCCTCCAACCTAGCAGCGATGGCCTCCAACCTTTTAGGGATGGCTTCCAACCTAGTAGCGATGGCCTCCAACCTAGTAGCGATGGCCTCCAACCTAAAAACGATGGCCTCCAATCTACTAGCGATGGCCTACTAGCCATGGCCTCCAACCTAAGAACGATGGCCTCCAACCTACTAGCGATGGCCTCCAACCTAAGAACGATGGCCTCCAACCTAAGAGCGATGGCCTCCCACCGAGTAATCTTGCATTTGTTACTGAAAATGCATGGTTTCTTGGTTATGAAAAGGAATGCCACCCGCAACAGCAAGAGGGTGACTCGCTGATGTTTGCTGTTGTTCGCTGGTGGGAGCCTGGGTGGGCCAAGGTGGCACCCACCGCTGCCAAGGTGCTGTATACAATGAGGGCAATGGTGGCACTGCAAACGGTCACCCATGCAATGGAACGGCCCAAAGCCTTGGAGCGCAGTGACCAGGTGTAGAGCTTCGGACGTGTTCGATTTGTCAACACATGTCTCGTTCTTCTTTTAGCTGGCTCCTACTTAACTAAGTAAGGAAGCAAGCTACTAGGCTAAGTGAGCTTCTGGGTAGGACGCAGGATAGCTCACGCTTCTTCAAGGAAGCTCCCCCGCCTGAGGGCGTGGAAGAGCTTCCTTGAAGAGGCGCTCAAACCATTCATTTGGTTTCTAGATTGTTATCAGCTTTGTCATGGTTCATTCAACGTCAATTCACTGCATGTCATTTCCTCAAGGAAGACATCGGAGTCCATGTCAACAATGCCAGGCTGCCAAAGCATTCGTGGTGCGAAGCTCTGTTGGCATGTTCTTGATGGGCTTGTTGGTGCTGGCAGCATCCGGGCCCATTGTAGTGTCTAGAAGTATATAGATGGCTGTCCACTTGGGAATTGTGATGGGAAGATGATTCAAGTTAAAAGCTTGTCTTGAAATTCAGGTATGTGCGCAGATCACCACAGAGTTTGAGATGAAGGATACTGATGGAAGCAAAAACAATAAGACGTAGTCCACGTGAGACATTCGGGGAGGCAGGGCAATGCAAGCAAACCAGGGGACTCGTTGGAAAACTGCTGAAAACATGACCGACACGTGTTTACTGACACACGTCACACGCCTGATGTAATGAAAGAAGTGCTGCGTAATAAAGCCCACAACTGGTGTGCTAGCCTCAGCAAAGCAAAAACGCTCTTGCAGTAAGGTCAAAAGGCAACAAACAAACAAACAAACAAACAAACAAACAACCGTTGTTCCAAATCAAAGACCTGAGGCGAAAACAATGGAGGCAAATGCCCCATCAATTGCCGCTCCCAATGCAACTACCTATGAACAGAATGGTTCTGGCGAAGTGACAGCAATTCTTCTTTGGCTCGAGTGATCTAATATGGAAACACAGAAGCGCACCTGGGCAATCATGTGAGGAGGGACAATCTCCGCATAAAGCGGCTTAATCACCTGAAGAGTAGAAAAGCTGATACGACAAATGATACATTGAATATGCGGCCTGAAGAACCACCCTCAGACCCTAAGGCTAGCTATCACATCAAATGCTCTCTCACGGCACCACATGCCCCATTCTAGCAACTCCAAACTTGATGATATGTTTTGAGTGTTTTTGTGCTGTTCCATAACACAAATGTCCCTACATTTAAGGTTGCCCAAATTGGTCCAATGAAATGCTACATCTACATGCTTCTTGAATAACTTCAGGCACAATCTAGTTTGAGAACTAGGCTCCCGGACTCCGGCATAGCACATGATGGAAAGAAAGCCAAACATGAAGCTTAAGGCTGACCTGACAGACTCACAGAATCTTGAAAACACGCACGAACGGAAGACTTTTCTGCAGTTTCTTTCGGAACATCTTTAACCACTTGGCTAAGCAACATGCTTGCATGCACTCGTATAAAACCCGAATGAAACACGTACGAATCAAAGCGGCAAACTCGATCAGAATTGCTGGAATCCAAAACTTGTAAAGAAAGGGAGAACAGGGCTCACAAGTGACTCACAAGTTGTCAAAACTTGATTCACACTCAATATCTGTGTCAAGGCTTACATGTGACTGTGGAGGTCGCACCTGTGAAAAAAGATCTGGTAGTCAGTAGGCCTGCAACGAGCGAGGAAAAGGACCGAAAGGAGATGGCATCTCTGCCGAAGTTGAGTTGTCTGAAATTCTACTTGGAGTCTTTTTCCGTCACAATGCGTCTGCTTTGCCAAAGCTTTGTCAACCTCAGCCATGCCAGTCCAGTTGAAGAACAGCCATGCCTGGGTGGCTCCGTGATTACCTTGGCTGTCAAAAGGAGTGTCACACTACACAAGTCTCTGGAATCTAGAATCTAGAACAGTACTGATCAAGAAACCAAAAGTCTTTGCGTGACTTCAAGGTACAAATGTCAATAGAAGCACCCAAATCTTCAGGAAGTCAGAGGCTTGACCAAACAGAATGCGGCCATGCCTGCGAGACGAAGGCTCTCTGACTTTCCTCTTGAAACGAAGGTTGGAATGTGATGAAACACGTTGTCTTGTACCCTTTTGCTTTTCTCTATTTTTTGTCACTGGAAAACTTTGTGATGCGGTCTGCCCCACCTGGGCCATAGCTGGGCCACGAAATCCGCGATATGGCCACCGCAAACTGCACCGAAAATGCTGCCCAACGGCGCCTCGGAAGTTCTCGGACAAAATGGACATCGAAAAAACTGCAGCGAAATGAAGTGCAAACTATAGTTCAAGTAGAACTTTTTAGGGAAGCGGAAATAGCAAATTCAGGCCTACGAGAGCCTAGAGCCATGAGCTGTTCTTCCATCTTCCACCTTCCATCATATCTGAAGCCATGGCTGCACAGGCAATGCTGGCTGCACTTAGATCGCTGAAGCCAAGGTATTGGTACCACATCACCTGGTACTGCATGGCCTCACAGCTGTCAGGTCTGAGGACTCCAAAGCAAGATGCGTTTCGCACACAAGCGAGTCCAAGTCTTGCAACACCCAATCAGCATGCCTTTACGGTGGTACTGGCGAAAGCACCTTGAGTGATCCTCGGGCAAAGCAATGCAGTTGCCAGCACCGGTACTCAGCAATGATGCATTGATTGTCCGTTGATGTTGAATGTCTATATATATGCGTAACAATAGTAGTAAATACATAAATAGACAAAGAAATATCTAAATATATAGATACACAGTTGATTTATCAGAATAATACAGTGAACATCAACACAAGGGGTCTGCGCCCACACAACTCGCTAAAGTACCACAACCATATACACAACATGGTGCTTGATCACAAAAGCTCCATGTCTTCAGGACACTGTCGTGCACTTCCAAACACGAATGATGATGCAGTCAGCACAATATACGTATGATAATATACGTATGAAATACGTGTCACCCAGTTGTTCCTTCATGTTCCGTGATATGCCACCATTATATACATCCATGGACTGCCAAAGTACCAATCTTGAAGTGAAAGTGACCTCATGTTGATCGCTTCTGTTCGTCCTATATTGGGACAGGGGGTGCAAGGTTTGACCCACATCCAAATACACATCATTGAATGCGCTAGAAAATAACACAATTCAAGCTGTATTGCCCTGACAATCTTCAAAGCACTCAGAACAGAAGTTCATAGATATGCAAGCCGTCATTAAACCTACCAAGATGGTTTCATCAGTGCTGTAATTACAAGTTGAAGAGGAATTCCATCAGAACTACACATTGAAGTACACAACTCTCCCACTGTCTGCCACTAGATTCTCAAGCGGAGAATTCTACGAGGCACGAGCGTTGAATGCCCTGCAAGCCATCTCTCACCTGCCAAGCTGCAACACCCAAAATGATGGGCGTCTCAGCATGAAGCCAAAGTCCTGCAGGAAAGTGCAAAAAGAAATCATCACTGATAGCGATGGCCTCCATCCTACAAGCAATGGCCTCCAACCTAGTAGCGATGGCCTCCAACCTAGTAGCGATGGC